GATTACTATTAGTATTAGTATTAGTAATAAATAAACCAAGACAGTGCCAGTGTCAGTGGCAGTGCCACGGCTCAAGGATGCTCTCTATCATTGAACAAACACTGCCAATGCCACACTAACACTGTCACTGTGGCTGATAGGGTCTATGTTCCCCAGGGTACTGCCGGAACGTACACCCTGGGTATGGTCCGGTATACCGGAACGTACCCTGGTAACTATCTGATATGCCGGACCGTACCTCACCAGCTCACCTACTCCAAACCGTATCCTGACTTTCAGCCGATGTCGTAATACATACCGCTTGTCGGCAGGAAACTCGCCGCTTTATGCTCCCGTTCCTTGTTTCCGGCTCGTTCCCGCAAAACAGCGTGTCAGCGAGTCTATACGTTTCCAACCCCATTAAGATAATCATACAAATTTTCCTGTTCCACCACAACACTTGGAGCCATCTTTCAAAAATCTCGTGCGAAAATGCGCGAAAATGTCGTAAACATTGCGAGAGGAAAACGCATTCCCGATCATCGCGATATTTGCAAAATGATTGCGCGCATCAGTGTATATAGGTTGAAATTTCTTCTTGGTTTCACAGTTTCATACTCCAATCCAACTTTATAAGGTACAGGTCTGTATGTATATTTCAAATTTTGCGACATCAGTAGTAGGCGGAACAGGGACAGTCAGGGTACGGTAGGGAGTAGGCGAGGTACGGTCCGGCATATCAGATAGTTACCAGGGTACGTTCCGGCAGTACCCTGGGGGACATAGACCCTATCAGCGTCACTGTGACACAGTGACACAGCCAGTGACTGTCACTGTCAGATCGAGTAACAGCCTTTAAGTTTTTAATGACGTGTAGTATGTATTTATACGCATCGCTGTTGAAATGCTCTACTACTACTACTACTAGTACTGAACTAACACTCATGAAGTCAGTTGTCGTCAAAATCGCAAACCGGTCACATCTGTTCAGACTGTTACGAAAAAAAATTGCAACCAAGTGCCATCGTTTATCCAAATAATTCTAATAAAATCCAGCCAAAAATTGGAAGAATTAGTACTTAGTACATAGATTATGTCGTAGTCAGTCATGGTGCACTTTATTCTCGGTTAACTCATAATAACTGCACTCCATTCTGAAGCGCCAAGATAATTAAGCATTGCCATTTGCCTCCAAGCCATACATCATAATTAATCTCACCAGCTAAAGAAACCTGATGAGGTGACGTATAGTGCTGCTAGGGATTTCGGATATTTATCACTATAACCCTTGTTGACATTTAATCGCATATATATACAAATTTGACAGAATTTCTGGAGAGTTCTTTTGGGAAAATGAGATTGTATACCTAATGAAAAGGTAGCAAGTAAACACTTGGCTACAAACAGATTAAAATATGGAGGTGCTTGGCTGTGTATTTGTGATGTGATAGTTTGAAACGAAGCAATACTTAGCAATTATAGACATCACATTTTCCCACCTGCTGCTAATATGTTCTGTGTATGTGCGATGCCGTGGTCATCACATTGCCCTGCTAGGAGGATAATATAAAATACAATATTCAGTCGCGGGCAGTACCGGGTAACTCTAACTATATCTGTTATTAGTTGAATTGCCAGAGAGCACTACGCCTGGAACCTGAGGCTTTCAACCACCGTGCCCAGTCCTGTGTCTGCAGTCTGGGCCGAGTGTAGTGTAGTGACCCGAGAAGAAGAAGAAGATAGTTGAATAGTTGATATATTAGGATATAGTGGGTATCTTGTATATAAATATCATTTGTAATAACTACATTAGATACTCAGTATCACCTAAATTAATATTATCGTGTTGTTCCACCAAATTTGAATTTCTGATGAAAATGAATTTATTAATGGTATTTGAATTTTTATATAGCAAGAGAAATGCAGTGTTAAATTGCACTGAATCTCAAACAAGACTTTTAAATGCAAAATGTACTCAATTTGAATCTACTGAAAATTATTGGAATAAAATGTCATGAAAATGAGTAATTTGGTGATTTTTATTTTCTAGTAATAGTTCCTGGAGGCGGTTTAGGCCAAGATTTATCGGTGACAAACAGACCTGCTAGAGAGTAAAAAAATGCAGTCAATCACGTCGTGGCTGAGCAATTAGTAGATGCCTTCATGGATTTTGAGCATCATGAAAATGCAACAGCAGCAGTTTTATATGGAAAAGGTTATTAGAGGATAATTGTTATTTAGAAACCTGAATAATGCTTTGAAAAAATATATATCAGGAGGTAATTAGCATACCCTCCTCTCCTCTCCATCCATCGCCGACTTCTCCCTCCTCTCTCTCTCTCTCTCTCCTTCTCTCTCTCCTCTCTCTGTCTCCCGTCTCTCTCTCTCCCGATCTCCTCTCTCTCTCTCTCTCGCTCTCATCTCTCCTCTCTCTCTCTCTCTCCTCTCCCTATACCTCTCCCTCGCTCATCTCTCTCCTCTCTCTCCTCTCTTCTCTCTCTCCTCTCTCTCTCCCTGTCAGTCTCTCCCTCTTCTCCCTCATACTCTCTTCTCCTCTGCTCCTCCTCATCTCTCGCGTCCCTCGTCTCCTCATCTCTGTTTCCTTTCTCCTTACATGCTCTCTCCAACTCTCATACCCCTCTTTCTCCCCTCTGCGCTTGCCTCTCTTTCACCCCTCCCCTTTCATCTCTCTTTTCGCTCTCTCTCTCCTCGCTCCGCGTCCTCTGCTCGCTCTCTCTCCGCCGCGTCTCCTCTCTCGCTCATGCCGGCCCGCCCCGCGGCGCATTAGGCATATAAAGAAGCCGTAACTAAGTTAAGCATCGAAGGACAACGAAACACCCACTCGGTCCTTTTCATGACGCTGTTATATGTTTGTACCAACTACGATAACCGCACCGCTGCCAAATCACTTGATAGGCCTCTCTCTGTCTCTTTCTATCTCTCTCCTCTCTCTCTCTCTATCTCTCCCTATCCTTCTCGATCCTCTCTCTCTCTCTCGTCTCATCTCTCTCTCTCAATTCTTTTCGCTCTTCTCCTCACATGCACTCACCACTCATTCACTGTCTCTCTCCGTCTCCTCTCCTCTCCTCTCTCTCTCGCTCTCTCTTCTCTCTCTCTCTCACATATAAACTACACATAGGATCACACCCTGATGTTTCAAATTTGCAGCCAAAGACTTATATGCCGGCACTGTATTGTCTTATCCACATTTTGCAAGTGGCCGAACTGCCAGCAGTACCAACACAATCAATGAATTTGAAATGCATATTTTTGTTGTTTTAAAAAGCCATAGATTTGGTAACTAAACCACTACATTTACCCCCACAGGTGGCACATTCTGTGCAGGATATGACTTGCAAGAGGTTTCTGAGAAAGCTGGTACTATGCCTTCCCTCCTGAAGGAAAGTCAAGGTCCAATGGTATAAAATTCTGCAAATGCAGCATTTTATTTAAATCTTTTGTCATACAATGAATAGGCGTTAGCTGTAAGTGTAAAATTATGTATTAATTTGATATGTCTTGTTATATGTCAATAGTACATGTATAATAATAATCATAGTATAATAAGATCAGTTATTATTAGCTCACTCTTGACCACTAGTCAGATGGCAGCCTTGATAGAATCGCATGAGGTGCGTCGTCCGTGCCGACCGTCCGTCCGTCCGATGCGTTCCCGTGCGTCGCGCCCAATCATTGGCCACAAATCGTCGAACGTACGGATTTCGAAGTCGGCGACGCTCGGCCGGTACCCCCGAAACGAGTTGGATGTCGAAGCTAGTGGGGACAAAGGTCAAGAGTGCGATAGAAGTGTAAAAGAAGGGGGAATCATCCAACTCTCAAACTTAAGGTATATGGAGGAAATGCAGAAATTAGCGGCAGTTCAAATCTAAACGGGCATCCGAGCTCTTTGTGGGTGAGTGATAGTCGGATGTATAGGCATCATGTAAGGAAGAAGCCATCACCGATGCCGAAAGGGAGGTCAACGTCAAATGGGCCACAAGATCTAGACTTCTTAGCTACATTTTTCTGGAGACATGGTCCGGAGCGATTTGAAAAACTTTTTGTTTACAGCCGTGACCTAGCATTTAGCTTATTGAAAGGACCAGAAATGTACTTTCTGCTGACAACCAACGTGCCTCTAGCTGCGAAGAGTAAGTGCGATAACCTTTTGACGACCCAAGAGGAGGGTTAAACATCGGATTTGTTAATGGTCTTTAGAATGAGGTAATTTGACTGCTCTTTTAGTGGGTTGCAGTAAGATCATACATGCCATGGATTAAAGAGGCTACAATGTCCACAATGACATGTCAAAACTAATATGTTGAAGAAGGTTTCATCGCTCCTTAAAATCTATAATTCTATGCATTCTGTCATTTTCTGATAGTACTGTGCAGAGGTTACAATTGCGTAACGATTGCGGCCACAGCCAGGGCCATGCCAGTGCAGGTGGTTGTGGTACTCGTGTAGTTTGCTCGTAATAGTTACAGGTGGCACTCTCTATTTGCCTGTAGGCTTGCGTAGGTAAAATTGGATATGCTTACAACTATTCAGCTCTTAGCAAATATGTTGATTGCACTAGTACACAAATGGAGCTTCCATCTTTAACTGAAACACTTAATACTGACCTGCGCCATTTCTTTCGACAGGCATGACTTTCATAAACGAATCCCAAACGAACAATTCCTTTGAGAAGTCCACAGATTACCATCGCCTGTGCCTCCACTGTTCGGCGCGTATGTGAACATATTGCGGACGAACAGGGTTTACCTAAATCCCCACCACTCCACCACATAGGAGTGACCTGGCAGTAGACGTAGATGAGGCCGCTGGCCGTCCGCGCACTGGTTACATTAATAATATACAATTAATATAGTAGATTAAATAATTGGAAGCCATATAGGGAGATGTTCATTTTCGTGACAGGCGCCGCTACAAGAATGGACATTTCAAAACCTGTTATCAGCAGTCAATAGTGGCTACGCCAGTCGCAGGAGGACTTGACGTTTGGAGACATTAATGTGGCGTAAAGTGGTCGAGGAGTCTGCCATCATGGGAGTTACGGAGCAGACGATTCGGTAGCATACGACTGTGATGCAATTATTGCAAGTGCTTTTATTTTCAATCAAGCCAATAAGTTACCAAGCACCTAACTATCGAATCATTCCACTTCACGTGAGAAAAATATAATGACCTTATCGTGAAACCACAATCACTACCTCAATAAATTGTCCGGGCCGCCCAACATCGCCGCCCCGAATTAGTACGCGTACCGCATAACTAGAGACTCTCCGCAGCCGAGGAAAACAAAGACTATTCAGAATCAGCGGTCTTGAGGGTGGTTCTGCAGAAACAAAAATTTAAAAAGTAAAAAGTTAAAATTGATCATAAATTCATATTCATTAATAGATGGCGAATGCGTACAGATCAAACATAACGTCACGTGTGAATCCATGGGTAACCCTTAAAAGGGCGCAGGGCGTATCGGCTAGATCAATCCTGTCCCTACACCGGATTCCGGTTCGAGTCCCAGCGGGAACGTTATTTCCCCTTTTCCCTTTTTAGCTCATCTACATATCAGATCAGCTTGTAGAACGCATGATTGAGTTGTGAGTCCGGCGCTCCGTGCGTAGCGTCTCGTACCAGTCTACAAAGCAGTTGGGCACAAATCGATGAACTTGGCTCGACGTACGGCACGCTATTGCGGACGACGTGGGGGGTAATCCGAAAACGAGTTGGATTCGAAGCTGGGCAAATGTCAAAGGTCAAGAGGTGTAAAAGATAGGGAAACCTCTCCTCTAACTTAAAGTAAGGAGAAACAGAATTGCGGCACAAATCTAAAACGGCTCGACCTAGGCTTGTGATAGTCCGTGTAAGCATCAATGGTGAGGCAAAACGCCTATCACTGGCCGAAATTGGAGGTCACAGGTCAAACGGTCCATGGGCACGAGGAGCAGATTTTAGAAAATATTTCGGAGGACATGGCTAACGAGTGATTGAAAACCTTACATTTTGTTTCACGCGACCTAGCCATTTATGGCTTATTGAAAGGACGCATGAAATGCACTCCGCTGACCAGACGAAGAATAAGTGTCGGTATTAACTTTACCCCTCAAGAGGAGGGTTAAACATAAGGATTGTTGACATGTTTAACAAATGACTAGCACTCAGCTATTGCGCTGTTGTGGATGTGAGCTACAGTTCACCTCATTGCAAAGGCAAAATGTTGTGACCAAGGTTTACGGCTCCTTAGAATAAACTTATTTTCAAAGCAGTCTGTATAGCACATCACCGTAAGAACTCTGAAGCTCGCGTGGTAGGCCAAAAAACATGGGGCACCCAATTCAAGCGTGCGATGCAGGTGGCGAACTGGCCTATTCTAAGTCATAATATTGCCCTACAACACTGCAATGCAGATGTGTAACTCACAGCGAGCGAATCCTAGATGACCTCGCTCTGAATAACTTGATTTCACGCATACCTCAATGAGGATGTATCACGCACGAAGACTTGATGCCGTATCTTTTGATTATGATGACACTACTGCACACGCCATCTCACGGCCTATGTTTTCTTTTGCTATTAGAGCCCGGTCGGGCACCCTCTCACCCGCGCCCTTTCCACACTCTCCCCACCACCGACCAACTACGCCTTCGCAGGCTCAAGACACATCTCCATGATAAAAACATGTAATCATACGCGAATTCATTAAAGTTAACACAAGCTGATATCTTTATATTACAGTACTACCGGTATACAAGCACGAGCCTAGCATCATAGATTTAGATCTGTATTAGTAGTATCACTTAGATCATATGCTCTGAGCGCGAACGCTGGTGGCGCGAGGGCGCACTTGATCGGTGCCAGTGATTATAGAAGAATACCCGGCTACAGTAAACGTCAGTTGAGCGCTGTCGCTCTGCGGCACTTGTTAATTTATGAATTTATTTAATTTATTATTTTTTTAATTTATTTATTATTTTTATTTTTAATGTCTTTTATCTTTTGATTTCTTATTATTTTTTACTGTTTGGGATGGGATGAGATTGGATGGCATGCGATGGGATGGGATGGCATGGCATGGCATGGCATGGCATGGCATGGCATGCGATGAGATGGGATGGGATGGGATATGGGATGGGATGGGATGCGATGTGATGAGATGGGATGGGATAGGATGGGATATGGGATGGGATGGGATGCAATGAGATGGGATGGCATGGAATGGGATGGATGCATGCATGCATGGATGGATGCATGGATAGATAGATAGTTAGATTTTTTTGGGTATTTTCCTTTCAACCAAGCGGTCACCAACTGATTAACGCCACTGATTTCCCCGAGCAACGCCCGGTATCCTGCTAGTACATTATCATCTCGATTATCGAAGTGATTTTCGCTGTAGTTATGTAAGCATAGTTTCAAACTATTGACGATTCAACCATTTTTTGTTCATCACCAAAAGATCAATTCATAGTTTAAGGATATATGTTGGAAATCCAAGTTAATAGTGTAAAGCAGTCGTGTATTTTATTGTAAAATTCGTTTTAATATTGAATTCTGTTATGTTTTAGGTGTACCATTGATAGACGGTGGAACAGTAAGATTACCTGCAATAATTGGTCTATCTCGGGCCATGGACATGATATTAACAGGCAGGGCCATCACCGCAAAGGAGGCACTAGACTGGGGTCTTGCAAACAGATTAGTGGCTACTGGAACTAGTAAATACTTTTTAGCATACTTGGATTTCAATTAACGAGTCAAATGTTTATCATAATGAATGGTAAATCTTTGGTGGTGTATATGAGTTTCGATCGTTTGCATTCTTTTTCAAGTAAATTATGACGATGGTTTACAATATTTTGTTATTGTTTTGGTTTGATAGGTCTGGGTCAGGCGATAAACTTGGCAAACTCATTAATTAAATTTCCACAAGAGTGTCTGAAGATGGACAAACGATCAGCATACTATGCTACATTTGATGCCAAGTCTATCAAAGATGGTCTGAAATTTGAGTTGAACAATGCCTCACATGTGATAAACACGGAATCAGTAGCAGGTAACCTTTTTTATTAGTGAGTTTTGAGTAGTTACATTGTTAAAGCGGGTATTTTGTGTAAAGTTGGTGGCGAAGTCTGTTTATTAAAATTTGCTCTCTGCTCTTCAGTAATGCATGATTACTTGGTTATATACTCTTCTTTTATAAGCACTAATTTGAAATGTAATGTAATGAGCCATCACAGAGCCAATGATGGATGTGTGGCATAGAGCTTTCAGTTAATTGATATTAATTCTGTGTGCGTGTGCGTGCCAATAGGTGCAGAGAAATTTACGCAAGGCATTGGTCGACATGGGAAATTCAGACTGGACCCAGATATAGTGGGAGAGTAAAGCAGGTCAAAGGTTTGTAGACATGTTTTTCTACAATTATAGATGTAGTAAAATAATTATGAAAATGTAAGCTGCTATTGTGTTAGTTAGTCATATTATTTTATTCATTGATTTAGCAGCTTTGTTGTATTGCAATTAAAATGTGTCTAAAACTGATACACACTAGCAGCAATGCTGCTGATAATAAAACATGAGCTTGCATCTATTATAATTCTAAGCATGATAAAATCAGTTAATACATATTTTTCTCATCACATGATTGTCATTCCGTAAAATAAACACTAGACCCATGATTTATCAAACCAAAAGAGTTGGGGTGGGTTCCAATAATGCAATAATGTCCAGTGTTATTTCTGAATAGGGTTCATTAGAAACGCTAATTGTGAGTTTCATTTTCTATTAAAGTGAAAGAAATATGAAAAAACATGCATATAATAAAAAATATACCCCTAGGGGGTAATTGTCCGGGTGGCATTTGTCCAGGTGGGAGTTGTCCTGAGGGGGTAGTTGTCCGGGTGGTAGTTGTTCAGGGGGTAGTTGGCCAGGGGGTAGTCGTCCGGATACGCATTTACATCAATCGGCACGATCTCTCAATTGATCATTTTCAAACGATTACTCAAAGTCATTTGCTAGAGACATAGTTAGACATCTAGTAGTTCATGTTTGCATCTGCTACTAATGTTCCACCTGCAGCAATCCTCACGCGCACGCGCCACTACACCGGAGACGGCGCCCACTCGCCACTCACACACGTCTCCTGTTTACAGAGTCTTCCTTTCTGCTGCCCCTTCTCAGCCGACATCCACCCTCCGTCGACACATCATTGATCAGCCGCGAGTCGGCTGTTGGCTCCCCGGGTCGCGTGACGCGACGCGGCCGCGGCCGTTCTGCGGAGGGACAGCCGCGTGCGCACGCGTAAATAATGGATGATGTTGACGCGGGAGGGTTCGTATGTCGGAGGATTCCGCCGCTGCGCGCTGATTTGACGAATTGCGGGAGCAATTTTCGCGATAACAATGGCCGCCTCGTCGATAATGCATTGCGCACCACTCTTAGATATTACAATGGTGGAGTGCGGTGTTTCTAGAACGTTGATCCCATTCAGCAGGCACAGCTAGAGACTGCAGTGTGTACGTTCTCGTTTAGTACTGGCTCTAAACTGCAGCTTATTAAGGATTAGAAGGAAGGTGAAAACGTCTCTTTTTCTGTGTGTTCACTCTTTTTCTTGCTGGTCTCAGTGGGTTGGAATAAACAATTGACATCTACGTGTCTGTGAGACAACCTCATCCCTCGGTCGGTCCATTTGCGCCAGTTTATACGTGGTTTTCACGTGTTGTTTATGTGTAATTATCGAATTTGTGGCACTTTGTTAATCAGCAGCATTTTTAGAATGCCCTAATGCTAATTAGCTAGAGCTACCTGTCAAGCACTCCAGGTGGGTAGGCCAGTTAGGCTGGGTCTCGTTTTAGAAATCAAAGTTTCAGTTTGGTTTAGGCTTCACTATTGCACTATTACACAAAAGTAGTATTTCACTCGAAGTTGCCTGATTTTGGCTGGTATATACAGGTTCCTATAACTCTTATTTAATCTTGGATCTTGGATGTTTCTTTTAGTTTTGCTGGCTACCATGTATAAGCTCTGTGTAGCTGAGTCTGTAATAGAGAGGTTTAGTAACGTTTTTTGTCTTCCATTTCCTTCAATGAATGTGCGTACACCATATCTGGCACGATTCGTATGGAACGGCGCTTTTCTGCCGGCGTGCAAGAACAAGCAGTGGTGCTGAAATGTAGGGTTATCTGTCATGTATCTTAATTGTAACATGTTGCGGCTTTCTCTCTCCTGTTTATCATATTTGCTCAGATGATATCTTCAAGGCACATTCTGTTCCAAGTCGACGTCAATGTTAAGAATGGTATGCCATCTAGAGTAGATAGCAGTCAGGTGAAGAAGACCGTACCTTGTGATTGTGATAGATATGATGACTGGGATTTGATATATAATGGGACTGCTCAGTGGTTTGATTAAGTATAGTATTGGCAGATACGCGAATAGTTCTTTGGTTTTCGCAAAAGTGAGCGAGATGATGCTGCGTGCAATGTTCATGTACACGCATCATATCTATAGATACGTAACTGTAGATGCAACCAGTTTTCATCTCACATTGTTAGTGATGCAATAGGAAAGTCAGAATTGCATGTCTTCAATTAAAGTCAGTACTTGTCAGTGGCAAGTTGAATCTTCTGTGCCAGATTTTGGCATTGCCATGTATTAAACATCGAGGCACTTGAGGCACTCGAGAACTTTGTATTCGTACACGCGTGTAATTCACTTGATACGTTTGATGCTTATTTCATGTGGCTGCACAGGCATCTTGAGTGACCAATAAGTATTTGTATCAATAAACAGCGCGTAATAAAGACTCTGTAGGGCATTCATTCCTTGTCGCCAATTCTTCACTCGATGTGCATGTGTAAGTCTCGTTTTCCCAGAGAAATCGCATACTTAGTCATCTCTCAACCTTAAACGGAAACAGACGTTCTGTCGATCTGAATGGCAGCTTTAAGTAACGCCGGCACTTTGCATCTGGCCTCTATGCCATCGCCGTGACTGTGAACTTGACAGTAAGTGTGCTGTTATGTCCCGGCACAAACTGTGGGACTTACAATAATCTTGGTGGAACACGTGGCTTAATCATGAGATGGCATGCAATAATTTGCAAGGCATGGCCGCAATTGTGCAGTCGCGCGCAATGGGACTGTTGGTCATTGTAAATGAGCATTAGTGTGTCCCTCCCCGGAGACGCGCCACAATAAGAAGTTGGCCTACGCATCGGCGCGCTGTCGTGAAAGAATAAATGTGATTATCCGTAATTGAATTCCCCTGTTTCGCAGAACCTCTTGCAGATACTGTTGTGGGACGGCTTCAGGATTGGTGAGAGAGAGCGAGAGAGAGAGAGAGAGAGAGAGAGAGAGAGAGAGAGAGAGAGAGAGAGAGAGAGAGAGAGAGAGAGAGAGAGAGAGAGAGAGAGAGAGAGAGAGAGAGAGAGAGA